GGCTTTCTCAAGGACCAGGATGTGACACAAAAATCTGAATTATGGAACTGAAAGTGAAAGTAGTCAAACTGAATTTTTAATAAACCAAAACACAGTTTCAAAGTAAATTAATTCAGATACAAAACTTTAAATTCAGTTTAAATTCAGTAAATTTTATTTTGAAACCAATGAATTTAATTTCAGGTTGACTTCCTGCCACAGGACCGATCCCAGACAGAGTCCTTCTCCTGCTGCAGGTCCTGAAGCTGCTGACGGGTCGACTCCAGCTGCTCGTCCTGCAGGTCCAACAACGTCCCGTCATTCAGAACCACAAACCCGTCAGAATAAAGAACAAAGCCCAACATCAAAAGGTTCTACAAAGAAAACCTGCAGAACCAAAGTCTGGCTGCTTGGAAAAAACTGAAACCTGAAGGAACTGGACCAGAGGTTCTGTTCACCCTGTTAAACCCAAAACCACATTTTAACAGAGGTCCTACTGACCAGGTTCTGCTGAGCTGGACCGGTTCTGCTCTCAGATCCGTGCAGCCGGTCCTGCAGTCTGGATCTGTGGTTCTGCTGCAGGGCTCGTTTGCTGGTTCTGGTCCTGTGGACCAAGTCTTCAGAACTGTTGGGGGACAGAGGACAGTTTCAGAGACTTCAAGTAAAACCCAATCAGAACCATCGGGTCCACAGGGACTAGATCTAGACTCGGTTCAGTTCTGGTACCAGTTTTTATCCTCCTCCAGCTCCTCTGGTTCCCTCTGGTCCTCCTGGAGTCCTAACAGAACCTCTGTAAACTGGTTCACCTGGGTCCTGGTCCGGTCAAAGCGGGCCTGGAGTCTCTGCAGAGACGGGTTCTCCTCCTGCAGACGGAACGCGTCGAAACTTTCTTCTTCTTTACTTGTTAGAACTTTAACACTGAAGCCTCACCTGCTGAGGTAGCTCCGCCCTCAGCTGCAGGAGCTCCGCCTCCAGCTTCACCTGCCCGTCTCTCAGAGACTGAGCCTCGGACCAGAGAGCGGACAGCTCCACCTGCAGGACACACGAGGAACAGCAGCTGCTCAACAAAACCATGCATTCAAACACCTGTGTGTGTGTGTGTGTGTGTGTGTGTGTGTGTGTGTGTGTGTTAACTCTGACCTGTGTGTGTGTGTGTGTGTGTGTTAACTCTGACCTGTGTGTGTGTGTGTGTGTGTGTGTGTGTGTGTGTGTGTGNGTGTGTGTGTGTGTGTGTGTGTGTGTGTTAACTCTGACCTGTGTGTGTGTTGGAGCCGTGTCCTCCAGGAGGCGCTGCAGACTCTGGTTCTCAGCCTCCAGGAGGTGGACCTGCTGCTGAGAGCGTCCAGCCTGAAACAGACAGAAGACCACCGCTCAGATTAAAGCCCCGCCCCTCCGTGATGTCATCGGCTCCTGCCTCTACCTGCTCTCTGAGGTCTCTCAGGTACTCCTGAAGTCCACGGATCACGTCCTTCAGCTCGCTCTGAAGAGCCTCGTTGGCCAGAATCTGACCTGCAGGAAGACGAAACACCTGACGAGTCTAACAGCCAATCAGAGAGGCCGTGGCGTCACAGGGAGGTCTCTGATTGGTCGGATGTCTCCTCACCGTCGGTCAGCTGCTGCTCCAGATCCCTGATCTCCTGCGTCTCCACGGCGATGCGTGACAGCAGGTCGTCCAGGCGACGCTCCATCTCAGCTGCTTCCTGCTCAGGGGCTGGACTGCTGGGTCACATGGGCCTGAGGGAGCCAATCAGAACGCAGCTTTTATTCTGAAGCATCCTGTCAGAACCTTACAGTCGTTAGTCCGTTCCTGCTGATTTAAAAAAAAAAACATTTTGAGTAAAGTGAAGCTGGATTCTGAGCTGGTCCTGGAGGGCTGGACTCACYGAAGCCCCTGGGGACCCCCTCATGAACCCCATGCTGTATTAAAAGATAATTTACTGTCATTTTAACCCCTAAATGCCATGAGAATGTTTTTATTAACTTGATTGTGTTTGTTTTCTTAGTTCATAGTTCTCCATGCATTTTTAAAAATAAAAACAAAACCAACAATTTAGTGACATTTTTTGAGAACCCCCAAGATACCTGGCAGTGCTGGCTCTAGCCATTTTGGTGCCCGAGGCGGGTTGAAGAGCACCCCCCCCCCCGAACTATGTCCCACCCACCCCAATTTGAACCCATAAAAACAAGTTTGACAGTGTAAGGTACTATGGTAAACTTACATTTATTTGATTTCCCATAAAGCAAATAAATAACAACATACATGTTAACTTGTACAGATTGTCTGTAAGTTATAAGGATTTTATGTCATTTTGCAGGTATACGGACACATAGAACAATCTCATGGATTCTTTTCAAGTCTTACGAATTTATTTAAAACCATCCATCCATCCATCCATTTTCTTCCGCCTATCCGGGGTCGGGTTGCGGGGGCAGCAGCTTCAGAAGGGAGGCCCAG